ACTTATCTTCTCTCGTTTTCTCTATCCTTTAAAATCTCTCTATTTTCTTTCTGCATTTCGTTTTTCTTTTCTGTCCTATTCTTTACATATGGATACGAACTTTGGAGAAAGATAGATAGTTTGATGTGGTATTGTTTATTCCATAAGTTCTATAATTTTGTTATTATTTTCAAAAATTTTATCACGATCTGTTAAGCTTTCTTCGTTGGTTTTTTTCAACCTGGTTTTTTTGCACAAAACCTATTACGATTTTCCTTCTTGTAGCTACATTTTGATCTTCTTGCCCGACTCGTTTATTCATTTCCATTGTTACCATTCGTTACGGTTTATATCGATTTAATTGACTTTTACTTCGCTTCAACCTGTGAGATCTCGACATGGTGGTAATTGTGTGTGCGCGCGAAAGACTGATTGGTACGTGTCGTTGGTTTGTTCGAATATCAATTCGAACGATCAACAATTTGAATCGCTGAAAAGTTCAATCGATGCAGTATACACAGAGAGATATAAACGACGAACCATTTGCAACGAGGGAACATTTAAATAACTTCTATTAATAAGATATTGCTAACGATTCTATCAGAGTCGAGTACTCTTTTCGTACCTTTGATCAACACCTTTTATAAAACTGAAAAGCGATCAGGATTAAAAATTTCACACCTTTAATTGAATCGAATACAAAGAATGCTCAAAGAATCATTTGAATCTTACGATACGTTTTCAAGTGATGCGGTAATAATAAATCTGAAGGAATGTAAAACTCGTAAAGGGATGAGATACAATTTTCGTGAGCTAAATTCATGGAAACTGTCTATTCATTTCCACCTCAAGAGATTTTCTGCTTCTTTTGGTTTACCGAGAAAAGTTTTACACGCGCGCTGAAGTTTTCACCCGCAATTACTTGGGCATCTAAACTTGCTGGATAGTAATAAAGGCTCCCCCTCTTATATATATATCTACTTATCTGAATTAATAAAGTGAACTTATTTTTACTTATTAAATAGAAACTTTTGTGTCATATTATTCATCGAATAAGAATAAAAAAAATTAATGACACATTCTTGTAATTACATTTTTTTACATCTATTATCTTTTATTATTCGTATAGCTTAATTCGCTGTTATAAAATTTGTCATGATGATTAAACCGCTTGAATATTAAAAATGTTAGTAATTATAATAAAACAAATGTATTACTATACTATATTAATGCAATTGTTTATATTATTATACAAACAAGAAATTAAAATAATATAAGTTATTAAAACAAATTCAAAAAAATTTTAAATTATTATCTTACAATCTAAAATCAATTCAACTATTATTATCATAATTTATCAATTCTTAAAGACATGAATAATCATGAACATGAGGAACTAATTCTAAACAATTGATGCATGCAATTATTATCACCAATATGTCATATTGCATAATAATTTATCAATTTAATGTATTTATAAATTACAAATTAGAGTTTATAGAATTATAATAGAATTGTTTATAAATATATAAATATGTATTACTAATATCATATATAAATTGCAAAATTTTATTTATTTTATTACTAAACTTATTACTATTGTGTAAAAAAATTTATTAATATTAATAAGTTATAATTTATAATTGTAAAATTGTAAAATTCACTGATAATATTAGCTGTATTGTAAAATTCACTGATGATATTTTTATGAGAATAAATATATTTATTAATTTAAATTCTGGTGAAATCGCTTAACAGCGCAGAAAAAGAAATAATATAACTTATAAAAGAAATATCGACATTATCAATGATAATAATAATTCGAAATTTGAATAAGAAAATGATAAAAATACCAATCATATCAGAATATATTCAACAATATCACAATGGTATTAGCAATAGCAAAAATAATTACCTATTTAATAAACAATTTGTAATACTCAATTTCCTAACAAAAATTTTTAATAATGATTCATATTATAAGTAGAAAAGAATAAAAATCTTAAAATTCTTTAAGTTAAAAAACTGAATTTATCATAATATCTGAGAAATTATGAAAGCCAAAAAAAACCTGTCTAATAAAAGTTGCACGATACAAAAGACCTTGTGATGACAAGGATTTTTTCCTATATGAAGATACTAAGACATGAAAATCTATTTATCTTAAGTCCAATGACATAATGCTCTTATAAAATAAAATAAAAATTCTATAAAAAATATAATAATCTATATTTGTTATGCAAAAATTTAACTTACGCTTATATTACGATTTTAATGTATTTAAAGTATTAAATAATTCAAATAATATTCCGTTTTATTGCAAAACAATATTTAAGGATATATACACAATATAGATTTTATATATCATTTTTTAGAATTAATTTTTTAAGAAAAGTATACGAGAAAATTCTCGTAAAAAAAAAACTCAAATAAAAAATTAATCTTATAACTTTTAAAAATATCTATTTTGTCAAAAACATCTTTAAAATATATATCCAATACTTTTTTAAAATTTAATCAATTTGATGTAAATTTATTTTAGAAAGTAAAACAATGTTAATTCATCAGATTGTTTAAAAATAATTTTTAAAAAATACATAAAATAATTATATATAAAAACAAAAAAACTTACCAAAATAGAATTTCAATTCGAGGAAAGATAATTATATTTGCTCTTGATTTATAATTTAATGTAGTTTAGTTTAATTTAGTTTTTTTTTTCTTTTGTAGCACCTAATAATATGAAATGTATGTTAGAATGATCTTCATGTTAGAATGATTTTCTTAGAATGATCATATGAATCTTACATATTATTGGCATTTCTTACAACCAGTATTTATTATACAATTTATACTTCCAACATAAATTTTCATTACAAATTATTAACATACCATTATAAACTTTGCGATAAACTTTTTTTATATTACTTTCTTCATTTTTCAATTAAATTCCAGATTCGATTATTAATCATCACTTATGAACGACTCTACTTATGATAATAAACTCAAAATTAATAAACACGCAAACATTCAACACAGCAAAAACAATATGTAATTATAGCATTCTTTAAATTCCATTAATATATTTTATAATATTTTATAATATATTATTATATTTCACATATAAAAATAAAACAATCACACAAAACATTTAATTTAAATGTTCAAGCACAAAAACGTCACATTAATTGATATATTATTACTAACATAACCGCGTTACCGTTATAACTTGCATTTCACGAAAGTTTTAAAATTGCTCTCTAAATTTTGATTTGCTGCGCAGAAAATGGTGGGGAGCACCAGTAACGGAACTACCGCAGTGTTGCACATTGTACCACGTGTCTGCTTGAAAAGTTCGCGGGATAAGCAATGGCCACGTTGATGTTACAGTTACCTACCGTATTGACCATCTTCAGATAGCATTATTAAACATTCACAAGGTATACGTGTTGCATATATGACTGGAGGATAATGTTATACTACTTTATTGTGCACGTAATACTTTTACTTTATATTTTCAGTAGAAATATTATTTTTGATTTTTTATATGTATGTATATAATGACATGTAAGTATTATACATTTAAAAAATATTATTCGAATTATTACATTGACACTAATTAAATATATAATTTATCATAAATTATATTATCAAGCAAAGTAAATTTATTATTTTATTTTAATAGTTAATTATTAATATAATGTTTTTTTTAAAATAATTTTATATTTTAAAAAATATGAAACACTTTCGATTATCGCGCAGTATCATTCCATATATATATATATATATATATATATATATACTATTACTAATACA